CCTGTGGTACCCTCTCACCCAACATCGAGACTCACGTGCCCCGGTCCCAACGATTTGCCGAAGATATCCTAGCAGCCCGAAAGAAAGCAGCTAAGGCAATTCAAAAGGCCAACCTGGTCGCAAACCGATAAGCCGATCGCCACCGACGTGACATCAGCTACAAAGAACTAACAACTGAACCGCTGAAGATTCTCGATTACCGCGTTACCACGCAGCTGAACCGTCGGATGGTGGATTTTATAATCCGTTGGCGTAATTGGACGTCTGAGGATGACAGTTGGGTGCCCCTCGCTGATGTAGATTCTAACCGTGTATTATCAGCGTCGGAATGTTTCCGATGCCCACGGCCTCGTTTAGGAGGGGGGTAGTGTAAGGAATTTCCATTCCTTACTGAGTCGTACGCTAGCGCGTACACCCGAACTCCTCGTCTCGTCACGTTCAGCCTCATTTGTCGGCGTTGTATATAGCGACCTTGTATTCTCACGTTATTATTCATTGACACTCTTATATCATAAACGCACCGCGACAACATCGGGGCGCCACGTCTGCAAAGATTCCCTCTGTTTCACAAAAGGCCTGGCCCTGACAACGAAAAGCGCAAAGCTCTCCTGGAGCAGCCCACCTTGGGATCTTACAGAGGCACGTCAGCAGGCGGCCTCTTGTGGCATCACCGCTCAGCCAGTCAGAGAGCTCGTCGTGTCCTCTCCCCTTCCAGCGCACCTCCCGCCTGGGCAAACCACACCACACCCTTTCCTTCCCGCCGCCTAACTTGGCCCGCCTTCCCTCGTTATTGTCATCAAGCCTCGTCACGTCTTTCTCCTCTGCCGCTGTGTGTCATCTCCCTCCTGCCATTCCTTTTCCTCTCTCGGCTAAGAGCTCTAATGCTGGCCTAACGACGATCGTTGGTGACGTCAGGCCGTAGCACCTGAAGCCTCCGCTTCGCTTTTGGAGATACTTTTAGGTCTGTTGTAAAGCTTGTGGTGTAGCTGGACTTCTCGTGTGGTGGGTGTAGTGCGGTGTTTCTGGGTTCGTCGTTGGATCATCAGTCATATCTTAGACTAGTTACGCGGTATGCGTCGTCGGCGTAATCTCAGTTTTTTTAGAATGTCGAGTTGACCTAGCCTCGATCTACGGCGAAACCCATCAATGAATGCAAGCGAGCGCGCTTAGTGGTAACAGCACGCGTGATACACTCCTATCGTGATTGGTTCTGCGGGTCGCCACCATGCTCCTTCGGCCAAGCTGCAGACGACCGTACCGAGTAGTCCTTCAGAGTCCCTTTCAGTATCCGGAGAATCTTCAACTCAGAGAAGCAATAAGGTAGCAATCGGATTCCCGGTGGATCCCTAGCATCGAGCACGGTCGCCATTCGCACAGCCAATTCATGTCTCCAGTATCCCCTTTATAAGCTCGATCCGCGAGATCGCACCATTCGAGTTGTAGTAGTCGACAAGGCAGTGTTTTTCCCCCGGTGACTCGCCTCCCTGATCGAGGGCCACCGAACGCACAGAGATGCAAGGGTTTGTTCCAGCCTGCGGTGACGAGCCTAGAGGCTCGACGGCCGTGTTTGGGTCATGCCTGGCGTCGATCGGGGGGAATTGGTGGCCACGCGTCGACGTCTCAATCCCTGGGCTCAAAGCACGGAGAAACGGCGTCTGACAGCCACGAGGGAACGACACTTAGAGATAGCAGCAGCAGCATCAGCGGCAGCAGCATCAGCGACAGCAGCAGCGGCAGCGGCATGAACAGCGATCGGGCTACAGCTAGACTGAAGCTCGAGGGATCGGCTCCTACTGAAGCACCAGGTGGGACTGTGCCTTGGGGGGTCATTGCAAGGCGAGTGGCGATCCTTGTCGTTTCCGCCGCCGTGTGCCTGACAGCCGTTCTAGCCTGCGGCCAGTCCTAGCAGCAGAGTCAGCCTCGGCATCGGCCTCGCCGATCCTCCCAGCCTCGGCCGGAGCTCTGGTGTCGAACCTGGCGCAGCGGGGCGCGGGTATGGGGAGTGGGCGCGAAGCCGTCGATTCGTCCAGCTGCTGAAGGTGCTGAGGGAGCAGGGCGTGCTGCTGGCGGTGCTGCTGGGGCTGTCGGCGTTCTTCTCCATGGCGGAAACCTCCATCACCACGCTATGGCCGTGGAAGGTGAGAGTTAGGAGGGGCGTTGAAGGTGAGAGGTCTGACACGTCAAGAGTTAGTTGCGTGCATGCTGCAGGCGGTCCATCGCCACGCTATGTCCGTGGAAGGTGAGAGACGGGAGGGGTGGATGATGTTGCTGCTGGTGCTGGTGGCATGCGGCCTGATGTCGGATCTATCCGGGGGATGCAGATCTTTGAGTCGACTGAAAAGGTGATCTTTGAGTCGACTAAACATCACCTGCAGCTGCAGGTGCTGGTGGCATGTGGCCTAATGCCGGATCTACTCGTTGGATGCAGATCCACTCGCCACTGGCATGGCCTGAAGATGGTCTCTGTAACCGCCCCTAACTGCCTTGTTCTTCAGACCCGTGTGCTCTCCGTTGCTCCTCATCCCGCATGTAGGTGCGCGGGTTGGCCGCGAGGGAGAGCAAGGGACCACATGCCCCGTCTCAAAGCATGCCTCCGAGTTTAACCGCCCCTCGTGCTCTCGCTGTAATTTCCCCTCGCGCCATGTTGTGGTTGCGCGAGCTGGCGGAGAGGGAAAAGGAGGGCAGCGTGTTCCAGCTGCTGCGGCGAGGCATCTGCACCACGGCACTCACTGGCGCCGTGCAGCCATTCCCGGCTGCAAGCAATCCCTTTCCATTTGTGTCCAACCTTCCCTTTTGGCGTCTGTCAGGTGCGCGAGCTGGCAGAGCAGGAGAAGGAGGGCAGCGTGTTCCAGCTGCTGCGGAGGGACGTCACTCGCTTCCTCACCACCATCCTCATCGGCACCACGTAATGCCCTCGTGTTTGCCCCTCATGCCTCTCTCTGCTTTCCTCACCACCATCCTCATTGGCACCTCGAAACGCTCTCTTCCGCCCCTCAGGCCTCTCGTCTGCTTTCCTCATCCTTATCGGCACCATGTAACGTTTCTGGTTACCACTCCCGTGCTTTTCCCAGTTTCGTTGTCCTGATGCCAGTCATTCCTCTCTCAGTGTCACCACGTATCTCTCTCTCCCTTTCACCTCTCGTACCTCTTCTCACGATCTCTTTCACCCCCTCGCCCCACACTCTTGCTGCTTCCCCATTCCCACCTTGACAGGCTGGTGACTATCTGGGCCACGGCTCTGGTCACAGATGCTTCTCGGTTCTCACTCTCTTCCTCTCCCTGCTGCTCATGTTTGCTAGCCCCGCTTTCTCCCCCGTCCCCTCTCCCCCGCGCCAGGCTGGTGAACATCTGGGCGACGGCCCTGGTCACAGACGCCGCTACAGCCCTCTTTGGGGAGGCAGGAGTCAGCGCCGCTACAGGCGTGATGACGGTACGTGCTTTGCTGCTACAGGCGTGATGCTTCTGCGTTCGCTGACCTACGTTTGTCTACTCCTTGGCTTCAAAGCCACCCATCCCTTCGTGCTTCCCTCTCTACTCGTGCACCCACCCTTCGAATCTCGAATCCTGTAATTTTGCACCCCCCTTCCCACCTTGCCCCTACATCCCACCAGATCCTTCTTCCCGTCTTCACTGGGATCCTGCCCAAGTCAATCCCAGTGCACGACGCCACCCCTGGTTTCTCGCCTCTCTTGCATCCCTACTGCCCCCCCGTCTGCCCCCCCGTCTGCCCCCCCGTCTGCCCCCCCGTCTGCCCCCCCGTCTGCCCCCCCGTCTGCCCCCCCCGCCATCCACCAGATCCTCCTCCTCGTCTTCACTGAGATCGCCCCCAAGTCCATCGCAGTGCACAACGCCACCCAAGTCGTCCGTGTCGTGGTATGCACCTCCCCAGGGGCCCCTTCTCCCCTCCGCTCCCCGCCCTCCCCCCTCTCCTCTCCGCTCCCGCCCTCCCCCTTCTCCCCTCCGCTCCCCCGCCCTCCCCCCTCTCCTCTCTACTCCCCCCCCTGTTTCTCCCTTTCCATCTCCGCTTTTGAATCGACTCAAAAGCAGACCTGTTTCCCCCCCTGTTTCCCCCCCTGTTTCCCCCCCTGTTTCCCCCCCTGTTTCCCCCCCTGTTTCCCCCTTTCCATCTCCGTCAATCCGCCTCTCGCGCCTCTCTCACTCCCCTCCATCTCTCTTCCCCTCTTGAGACCCCTTGAACGCTTGTTCTCCCCCTCCCTGCCATTTCTCTTCGCCTCCTTTCCCTCCCCACCAGCTGCGCCCAGTGGCGTGGCTGTCAGTGGTGCTGTATCCCGTGGGTCGCCTCTGCACCTATGCCTCAACGGGCCTCTTCCGCCTGCTCGGGCTCAAGACCAGCGGGTCAGTCCTTGCGCCTCTTCTCTCTCGTTGCAATTCTTCCTGCCCCGAATTCTCTCTCAAGTCCATCAAGTCAGCTTCCTGTCCCTCTTACATCACCATACTCCCGCCATTGTGACAATTACCGTGTTTTGCGAGCAGGCGGGGGTGAATGGTTGTCGTGTTCTCAAAACAAGATTTTGGTCAGCTTCCTGCCCCTTGTTCAATACCCTCCACCCGCCGCTCACGCCCACCCCTTCTCCATCGTCCCTGGCCTTGACAGCAGCCAGCTCTCTGCCCCGGCCTGGTCTCAATCCAGGTGACTTTTGAGTCGACTCAAAAGCCACCTCAAGATCATCAAGTCATTTTCCTGCCCCTCGTTCAAGGCCATGCCATCCCCCCGCCCGTCGTTCCTCATTCAATACCATCCACCCGCCCCTCGCGCCCACCCCTTCTCCATCCCCCCTGGGCTTGACAGCAGCCAGCTCTCCGTGCCGCCCTGGTCTCTGTCGCTGCACCTCTGTGCGTGTGTATACACATCCTGTTTGGCTTTGCCAATCACCCCTCATCTCTCCCCTACCTGCCAGGGAGCCGTTTGTGACGGAGGAGGAGCCGAAGCTCGTGCTGAGGGGATGTGCGTCTGAGGCGTCTCACCTCCCTCTGTGCCCTTGTCTGATTCCTGCCCCTCTCTCTGTGTGTGTTGTGTTGTACCAACACCTGTGTCTGCCAGGGAGCCGTTTGTGACGGAGGAGGAGCTAAAGCTCATGCTGAGGGGGGCGGAGATGAGCGGCGCTATCGAGGAGGAGGAGCAGGTGAGCAGGGCTGCGGGGCAGTGCCGGAACAGGTTAGAGCCGCTCTGAGAAGCTCCTGAAGCTCATGCTGAGAGGGGCAGAGATGAGTGGCGCTATAGAGGAGGAGGAGCAGGTGAGAAGGGCGGGGGGGATGGGGGAAACGAGGGTCAAATGAGGGGGGTAAGGTCAGGAGCGAGGACCCGAAGAAGGAAACGAGTAGCGCAATCAGAGCAGCTGTAAACGCTGTAAATGGTTGTAGAATGCTGTGCTCGGACTCCTTTTCGGGGAAGGTGCATTCTTCCCTTCACCCCTTGTGGGTGCGGCACCAGAACTCAGTGTGCCAATGTGAAAATAAAGCGGACCACCCCTCTATCCTCTTTTTCTTTCCCTCCCCCCCACCACCCCCCCCCCCCTGCTGTGACCAGGACATGATCGAGAACGTGCTGGAGATCAAGGACACGTATGTGCGGGAGGTGATGACTCCTCTGGTAGATGTTGTTGCAGTCGACTCCACAGCCTCGCTCATGGAGCTGCGCGCCCTGTGGGTGCGGCACCAGTACTCGCGCGTGCCCGTGTACGAGCGGCGCGTGGACAACATAGTGGGCATCGCGTATGCCATGGACATGCTGGACTATGTGGAGCAGGTGGGTGTTGCATGTGTGTGTGTGTGTGTGTGTGTGTGCGTGCGTGCGTGCGTGCGTGCGTGCGTGCGTGTGTGTGTGTGTGTGTATGTGTGTGTATATGGGGATCCGTGTATGAGTGCATGTATGAGGGCACCGACCTGTGTCTGTGAGAGGCGCATGGACAACATAGCCCACGTTTGCATGCACATTTCGACTATGTGGGGCAGGTGAGATGTGGGACAGGTGGGGCGTATGTGGGGCAGGTGGGATGCGGGGCAGGTGAGGTGTGGGGCACTTCCTGTCGCTCATATTTCGTGCTCCCTACATTTCACCATCTCTTGCTGCCACTGCTATACGCACACCTTACTCTCCTCTACCCTCTACCCCCTGTCTCCTCTCCTCCTCCACCCGGTCTGACTGGCCCCCTATCACTGTCACTGCCAGCCGGAGCTGCTACATCGCTTGAGTGTAGGCAGGATTGCGCACCGGCCGGCATACTTTGTCCCTGGTAAGAGCTTGCCTAAGCCCAGTCGTCCTTGCCACTTGTCCCTCCCTCGTCTTCCGTCTATTTGCATTTCTTTAGTCTCCTCGCTCGTACCTCCCATCCTCGTCCTCAGCATGCAAGCCTGAGAGAAGGCATCACGATTTTGCTGTCTGCAGCCTGCGCAGACCGTTGGTCAGCCTGACAGGGGCGCGACACCGGCTGTGGAAACCTCAACTCCTCTGCCTCTCTTCCTCCCCCCCCCCCACCCTATGTGTGTGTCTTGGGTTGGCTGGCAGATTCCATGTCGGTGTGGAACCTTCTGAGAGAATTCCGGATCCGTAAAGTGCACATGGCCATCGTGCTCAATGAATACGGTGGCACCGTGGGGGTGAGTTGCTCTCTCCTCTTTCAATCCCCCTCAAATCTCTACCCCATGCGCCCCACGCCCCACGCCCCATGCCCCATGCACCTTGCTCCCATGCCCCATGCCTCATGCCCCATGCCTCATGTCCCATGCTCCATGCCCCTTGCCCCATCCCCCTCCCTTTCCTCCCACCAGCTGGTGACGCTGGAGGAGATAGTGGAGGACTTGGATGGGCTTGGATGGGAATTGGATGGGCTTTGGATGGCCTTTGGATGGCCTTTGGATGGCCTTTGGACGGGCTTAAGATTGGCTTTGAATGGGCTTTGGATGTGGGCTTGGATGGGCTTGGATGGGCTTTGGATGTGGGCTTGGATGGGCTTGGATGGGCTTTGGATGGGCTTGGATGGGCTTTGGATGGGCTTGGATGGGCTTGGATGGGCTTTGGATGGGTTTTGGATGGGCTTTGGATGGGCTTGGTTTGGCTTGGATGGGCTTTGAATGGGCTTTGGATGGGCCTTGGATGGGTGTTGGATGGGCCTTGGATGGGCCTTGGATGGGCCTTGGATGGGCTTGGATGGTCTTGGATGGGCTTGGATGCGCTTGGATGGGCTTGGATGGGGCGACTGACTTTAGCACTGCATTCCATCTCGTGAGCCCCCATGTCCCATCTCACCTGGCGGTCGATCCACCTGGTGGATGGCGACCAGCGGCATTCTACTTCCTTGAGCCCCCATGTCCCGATTCTTCCCCTTCGCTCCCGCTCCCTCATGAAGCAGCTGGTGACGCTGGAGGATGTGGTGGAGGAGATAGTGGGGTAGACTGAGGGGTTGTTTAAGTGACTGACTCTGGTGCCGCATTCTGTGCCTTGTGCCCGCATACCCCATGTCCTCCCACCAGCTGGTGACGCTGGAGGATGCGGTGGAGGAGATAGTGGGGGAGATATTCGACGAGAACGACTCCAAGGAGGAGATCCGCCGCAAGACAGGGTACATCATCCAGCGCGCGGAGGGCGTGTATGACGTCGACGCCAACACCACTGTGGACGACCTCGCTGACATTCTCCAAATCGTGCTCCCTCCGGTGAGTCGTTGCCTCCGGTTAGTCGCTCTCTTTGTTGGTGAAAAGAGCTCTTTTCCCGGAGGAGGTGACTTTTGAGTCGACTCAAAAGTCACCTCCCTCCGGTGAGTCGTTGCCTCCGGTTAGTCGCTCTCCTTGTTGGTGCAGCTCTTTTCCCGGAGGAGCCTCATCGAGACGACATGAGACGGGGTACATCATCCAGCGCGCAGACGGCATGTACGACGTCGTATGTTTCGTTCGTATGTAAGGGCGTTCGTATGTTAGTTCGTTCGTATGTTAGGGCGTTCGTATGTTAGCGAGTTCGTATGTTAGGGCGTTCATATGTTAGGGGTTTCGTATGTTAGTTCGTTCAAATGTAAGGGCGTTCGTATGTTAGTTCGTTCAAATGTAAGGGCGTTCGTATGTTAGTTCGTTCTTATGTTAGCGCGTTCGTATGTTAGGGCGTTCGCATGTTAGGGCGTTCGTATGTTAGTTCGTTCGTATGTAAGGGCGTTTGTATGTTGGGGCGTTTGCATGTTTGGTGATTCGTCTGTTAGGGCGTTTGTCTGTTTGGGGTTTCGTATGATTGGGCGTTCGTATGTTTGGTGTTTGACACCATGCAATGTGGCACTGTGTCCTGTGTCGCCTCACCCTCTTCTTTCCAGCGCGCATCCTCTCCTCTCCTCTCGAGGCAGTCTCTGGTTTTGTGTTCGAGGCGTTTGTCTACATTCCCAGATTTGGCAACACAAGAGGTGTATCTGTTCCTCTCGCCACCGCCCCTCGAATCTCCCGTTACCCTCTCCCCTTGGCGCTCCCTCCTTCCAGCGCGCATCCTTCTACGAGACGGTGTCTGGCTTTGTGTGCGAGGCGTTTGGGTACATCCCCCGCACGGGCGACACCAAGATCATTCGGCTGCAGCGGAAGGAGAGCGAGGAGGAGGAGGAGGGCAAGGGTGCGGAGGAGGGGGGGGCAGGCGGGAAGGGCGGGAAGGGCCGGGAGAGGGACGGAGGAGACAAGGGGACGCGGAGGCAGCTGCTGCGATTCCAGCTGGAGGTGAGTTGGCAGTTGGGGTTGATTCCGTTTTTGTGAATTCTTATAAACGAGCAGCAGCTAGGAGGTGGGGGCGGATGGGAAGGGAGGGAATGGCTGGGAGAGGGACGGGGGAAGACAAGGGACGCAGAGGCAGCTGCTGCGATTCCAGCTGGAGGTGTGTCAGCAGCTTGAGATGAGTCAGCAGCTTGAGATGAGTCAGCAGCTTGAGATGAGTCAGCAGCTTGAGATGAGTCAGCAGCTTGTGGTGAGTCAGCAGCTGGTGGCATGACAGCTGCAAGTGCATGGATGTTCCTCTTTCCGCTTCTTGCTTCTTCTGAGTAAACTCAAACCACAGCCGTTTCTGCCCCTTACAATCGTGATCACCTCATGAGGCATCTTTACATTCCTCCTCCTCCTTCCCCTCTTCCTCTCCCGTGTGCGGCAGATTTTGTCCGGTAATGCAAGGAAGGTGGTGGCAGTTAGATTCGAGGAGCTGAAAGAGACGGAAGGGGCCAGAGGGGGCGGCGTGAAGGGGAAGCTAGGGGCGGCGAAGGAGGAGGAGGATATAGAGAAGGAGACAGAGAGGAAGAGGGAGAAGGACAGGGAGAGAGCGTTGGTGGAGGAGTGGGAGAGTGAGAAGAGGAGGGAGGGGAGGAGGAAAGAGAGACTTAGTCAGGAGGTGCGGTCAAGAGCGTTGGTTGAGGTGGGGAAGGGGGAGGGAGAGGGGGAGAGCAAGTGTGACACATGTGGTGAGAACGAGGTGCGCAAGGGAAGACTGGGGGGGAGGGGGGTGCTTCTGGATAGTGAGAGTGAGGGGGAGGATGGGGAGGTGCTGGTTGGGGGAGGGTGGCTGACGGCTGGGGATGGGGAGGATGGGGTGTACACTGAGGGTGTGTACACAGACATAGACATGGGGGAGAGGGAGAGTGAGAGGGAGAGGAAGAGTGAGAAAGGGAGTGAGTTGGTGCGTGCGTTTGATGGTGATGGGAGAGAGGGGTCTGTGGGAGAGGAGGAGGAGGATTCAGATGCAGAGGAGTCAGAAGGGGAAGGGGAAGGGACGAGGAAAGGGGAATCGAGGGACGTCCTTGAGTTGCAAGGCACAGCGAAGTACCAGCCAGCCAGCAGCACGAGCAGCAGCAGCACGAGCAGCAGCAGCACGAGCAGCAGCAGCACGAGCAGCAGCAGCACGAGCAGCAGCAGCACGAGCAGCAGCAGCACGAGCAGCAGCAGCACGAGCAGCAGCAGCACGAGCAGCAGCAGCACGAGCAGCAGCAGCACGAGCAGCAGCAGCACGAGCAGCAGCAGCACGAGCAGCAGCAGCACGAGCAGCAGCAGCACGAGCAGCAGCAGCACGAGCCAGCAGCAGACAACAGCAGAAGAGGGCGAGGAGCCAGGGGCGCTTGTGAGAGATACAGCAGGGGATGGGAGTGGCAAGAGCACCATGGGAAGCATGGGGGGAGATAGGGGCGCAGTGGTGGGGAGCAAGAATGGCAGCAGCCTAGTGCGGGGGGAAGGATGGAAGGAGGAGAGTGAAGAGTGGAGGGCGGAGGCTAACAAGTGGAGGGAGGAGGCGGTGGCATGGCGGGAGGAAGAAGACTCGGACTACAGCTCAGGCTCGGACGGCCGCGTGGGGCTCGAGGGGGGAGTGGTTGGGCCGCGGGGCGTGGGGGCGGTGCAAGGTGTGGGGGGGACGCCGGGAGGAGGGGGGAGTGTGCGGGAGTTTGAGGGCGTGGCCATGGCGCAGGAGCAGTATGAGCGGTGGGAGGAGAAGGAGAAGCAGGTGAGACTTGGGGGTGCTGCAGGGTTGTGATGGGTGCTGCTGGTGGCTGAAGTTAGCTGTGAGGGCGTTTGAGGGCGTGGGGGGGACGCAGGTAGGAGGGGGGAGTGTGAGGGAATTTGAGGGAGTAGCCATGGCTCGGGAGCAGGACGAGCAGTGGGAGGAGAAGGAGAAGCAGTTGAGAGTGGGAAAGCGGAGTAACAGGGCTTCTGCAGGGGACTGCTGGAACCTCTGGTGGCTGGTCATTGTCCTCGATGTGTGCTCTGTGCTCTCTCTGCTCCCCCTCCTCTCGATTCGTCTTGTCACGTTCTTTCCCTGGTCGCATGGTGCATTCCTGCGCTGCCATGTGCCATGTGCTATGTGCCATGTGCCATGTGCCATGTGCTACATGCTATGTGCCATGTGCCATGTGCCATGTGCCATGTGCCATGTGCCATGTGCCATGTGCCACATGCCACGTGCCACGCGCCACGTGCCATGTGCCACGTGCCACGTGCCATGTGCCACGTGCCATGTGCCACGTGCCATGTGCCATGTGCCATGTGCCACGTGCTATGTGCCACGTGCCACGTGCTATGTGCCACGTGCCATGTGCTATGTGCCATGTGCCATGTGCCATGTGCCCCGTTCCCTGGGTGCCTGTGCTGTGTGTTGGACACGTGGAAAGGAGGACGGAGAGGAGCGAGTCCCAGGCGCACATGGGGAGGCGTGCTCTTTGATTTCACCTCGTCACGTTCGTTCCCTGGAGTCTATTTTTGAGGCGCCTCAAAAATAGACTCCTCACGCGTGCTCGTTGATTTCACCTCATCACGTTCGTTCCCTGGCCGCATGGTGCCTTCCTGCCCATGCCATGCGCCCTGTGCCTCGTGCCATGTGTTCAACAGGTGGAGAGGAGGAGGCAGAGGAGGAGGAGGGAGAGGAGCGAGGCTCAGGCAGAGTTGAGGCGACATGCGCTGGGCACAGGGGGTGGTGGAGGAGATGCGGCCAGCCCCCTCTCCCTGCATGCTGAACCGCTCAGACTCAGGCTCAGCCGACCAGATGTGATGTCAGAGAGCGAGAGGGAGTGAGGGGGAGTGAGGGGAGTGGGAAGGGAAAGGAGAGAGTGCCTGGCAAGTACTGGGAACAGGCAGCAGCAGCAGCAGCAGCCCTCTCTCCCTGCATGATGAACCGGCTCAGACTCTAGCTCATCCAACCAGACGTGTGGTAATGGGGATTGAGAGGGGCTGATGAAGAGCCAAGGAGTGTGGTAACCATGTTGTAGCACAGTATCAGCGGTGTTGAGCACGGGCCTTCCGAATGCAGAAAGCTGTGTTTAAACAAAGATACCATAGTACAGATACGATATTGTAGAAAAGGAAATGGTGGTTGAACACCTTCCTAGATATAGTTGTATTCCCATATTGAGGAAGGTGCGCATAAGTACGTGAGCATAAGCATTTGTACGTGCGAACTGCGATACGTCGACCATCGCGTGTACACACCACTGCATCAATTCAGAATGTTACCTTAGCGCGTATGCACGGGGGCCTCGAATGGCCCTCAAATTTCCCGCCTTGCGCATTCCGCACGCGCGCGCTCACTAACTTCCTATTCTCGACTATTTGCGCCCCTCGCGTGTTATTCCCCTCGCTCTCCTCCACACTCCTCATGCGCCCTCGATATCCGCTCACGGCTCTGCGTCGGGTCTTATCGCCCCTGTCGCCCCTGTCGCCCTCAACTGCCGCCACACGCGCACCACCGCTCATCGCGCCGTATCCCGCGCTCCCCTCATCTGCCGCGCGCGCATCCCCCTTGGCTCAATCGTCCGCGCGATCGCTTGCCGCAACTGGCGCTGATTTAGGGACTGGCACCGCTGCAGCAAGCGGGGCGGCTTGTATCGAGGAATCTCGAGAATCCCGTTCTCGTGGTCAACGAGGGGAGGGGCGGATTCGAGGGAAGCGGACACGAGGAGAAATCGAGGGGTATCGAGGAGAGCGCGGACGAGGTTGGAGCACACGAGGATGGACGGTGGCGATTGAGGGCAACATTGGCGTGGGAAAATCGACGGCCCTGCGCGCTCTGAGCGAGCGACTCAACGGGTGAGAGCGCCTGTATGCCCAACGGGTGGTCAGCGCAGAGTCACCACAGAAGCACCGTGTTTCGCAGGCAGCACAGCTCCGTCGCAGGCAGCACAGCTCCATCGCAGGCAGCACAGCTCCGTCGTGGGCAGCATAGCTCCGTCGTGGGCAGCACAGCTCCGTCGTGGGCAGCACAGCGCCCTGTGCCACAGGCACAAGTGGCGTGGGTTATCCACAGTACTACTCACATATACTTGGCGTCTCTTGAGTCGACTCAAAAGTACTCTCACATAATTGGCGTCTCTGCGCTAACCACCCGTTGGGCATACAGGAACCCGCTCTGCCCAGAGGCTGATCCACACTACTCACTCATACCTCCTCCAGTCAGCCCAACGACCGACCGTTCCGCCCTCCCTCCCCTCCCCCCCCATCTCTCCCCCTTTCCCTCCTCCCCCTTTTCCGGAAACACCCCCTTCAGTGACGTGGCATTGCGGAGGGACATCACTGGTGGCGCTGACGTGGCGCTGCTGGCCGAACCACTTCGTGAGTGGCGCAACGTGCGGGGGAGCGGGGCGAATGCGCTGGAGGCGTTTTACAAGGAGCCGAAGAGGTGAGGAGGGGTGTGTGGAGTGGGGTGGGGACACGGCATGGCTGATGAGGGCACGGAGCACACGCCATCGGAGGGATGGGGGAGGAGGGATGGGGGAGGAGTCTATTTTTGAGGCGCCTCAAAAATAGACAAGGCATGGCTGATGAGGGCATGCAGCACACGTCAACGGAGGCGAGGTGGGAGGAGGGATGGGGGAGCGGGGCGAATGCGTGGGACACATTTTACAAGGAGCCAAAGAGGTGAGAGGCGTAGGATGGGGCGAACACACGAAACGGGTAGGATGGGGGCGCGGGGGATGGGATGGGGGAGTGGGGCGAATGCGCTGGAGGCGTTTTACAAGGAGCTCAAGAGGTATGTGGAGGCAGGTTGGGAGGCGTGAGAGGGGGGCTCGAGGAGAGTGGTCGTATGGGGCAGCGGGGAATGGGAGGGGGGGCGGGGAATGGGAGGGGGAGCAGGGAATGGGAGGGGGAGCGGGGAATGGGAGGGGGCGGGGAATGGGAGGGGGGTTGGGGAATGGCAAGGGGGGGCGGGGAATGGGAGGGGGAGCGGCACTCACTAGGTGCCAGCCACGATCACACACGCCATCCCCCTCCACTGCTCTGCCTTCTCCTCGCTCTCACCACTCCGCTTCCCTCCCCCAGGGTCGCCTACACCTCTCACAGTCTTGTCCTTATCACCCACGCCTCTTAGTACGCCCACTGCGCCTCTGCAATCACCCTGTCTTACGTGACCGCCTCGCATCTCTTCCTCTTCCCTTTCCTTCCCCCCTTCCTCTCCCCCTCCCTCCCCCCCTTCCTTCCCCCCTTTCTCTACCTCTTCCCCACCCCTTCTCCTCCCCCCTCCCAGGTTCGCCTGCACCTTGCAGAGCCTGCACCTTGCAGAGCCTGCACCTTGCAGAGCCTGCACGCCTTCGGTTTTCATCTCCCGCACCTCTCCCGCGCCTTGCAATACGCCAAAGGCGTGCAGCACCACCCCTCCGTGCTGCGCCTGTGCGAGCGCTCCGTGTTCTGCGACCGCCTCGTGTCTGTCCCTCTCACACCCCTCCGCTCCCACTTCCTCTTCCCTGGCCTCTGCCCCCTCCCAGGTTCGCCTACACCTTTCAGAGCCTTGTCTTCATTTCCCGCGCCTCTCAGTACAAACAGGGGGTGCATTCTCACCCCTCTGCGCTGCGCCTGTGCGAGCGCTCTGTCTTCTGCGACCGCCTCGTGTTTGCGCCTGCGTCGGTGGCGGCTGGGCTGTTCACACCGCTAGAAGAGGCGCTGTATGACTCGTGGTTCGACGCCCTACTGCCCATGATGCCTGCTGCTGTGAGTAGCCGGGGCTCAGTCGTCCCCTTCAGTGCTCTGTGTTGTGGAAGCACCTAGTGTTTGCACCGGCATCGGTGGCAGGTGGGCTGTTCACTCCCATGGAGGAGGCGCTCTACGACTTGTGGTTCGACTCTGTGGTGCCCATGCATGCATGCATGTATCGCATATGTGAGACTCATAGCTGGGGCGAGACCCCGCGAGCGCACTGGGGTAGCGTGTCACGGTGCGCTCCCGCTCACACTCGCTCACACTCGCTTGCACTCGCTCACACTCGCTCGCACTCGCTCGCACTCGCCTGCACTCGCTCACACTCGCTCATACTCCCTTACACTCCCTTACACTAGCACTAGGGTATCATCTGCTCTGACGCCCAACTCTTCCGCTCTCTGTGTCCTTTGCAACAGCCTGTCCTTTTCTCACTCCCCCCCATCAGGTGACTTTTGAGTCGACTCAACCGTCAGCTGCTCGAGCCTCTCTGCATCGCTACCAATGGCCTGTTCTTTCCTCACTCCCCCACCATCAGGTAGTACCCCGTGGTGCCTTCATCTACCTAATGGCGGACCCTTCTGTGTTTCTGCAGCAACCGTCTCTCGTCACATGCTATCCCCCCCTCCCCCCCCCATTGACCTGAAAGCAGACCCCTTCTTGTGCCTGCAGCAGCCGTTTCTCGTCACATGCTTACTTGCTTCTCCTCACTTTTTTCTCCTTAAAACCCCCCTCCCCCATCTTCCCCCCTCCACTCCCTGTCAGGTACCCGACGACTTCCTCTACTTGAGGGCGGACCCCTCGGTGTGTCTGCAGCGTGTCTACAAGTGCTGATCCATCCCTCCCTGCAGATCCATCCCTCCCTGCTGATCCTCACTCCCTCCCCCTCCTCACCCCGCCTGTCCCCCACCCTCACATCAGACACCCGATGCCTTCATCTACTTGAGGGCGGACCCCGCCGTGTGCCTGCAGCGCCTGCAGCAAACGTCTCTTCCTTTCATCCTTGCTTACTGTCCTTCACCCTCTCTATCCCTCACCCTCTATGCTCCTCACTCTCTTTGCGCCTTACCCTCTCTGCTCCTCATCTCCCCCCTATCAGATACCCGATGCCTTCATCTACTTGAGGGCGGACCCTGCCGTGTGCCTGCAGCGCCTGCAGCAGCGGTGGGTGGGTCATCCCCTCTCTCCCTCCCTCCCTCCCGCTCCTGCGCCTCACTACTTGGTCTCACCCTCCCTCACTGTGCCTGTGTTTGTGCTCGTGCCGGTGCTGGTGCCGGTGCCAGTGCCGGTGCAGGTGCCGGTGCCGGTGCCCATGCCCATGCCCATGCCCGTGCCCGGGCCTGTGCCTGTGTCTGTGTCTGGCCCGGGCACGGGCATGGGCACGTGCACGGGCACGGGCACGGGCAGCGGCACTCGTGAAACACCAACTCTCCCCACCCACCCACTCACCCGCACCCATCTCCAATGTGCGTGTCTAGTTTTCTTTCCCTTCCCGTGCGTCAGCAGTCAATTTTTAGGCACCTCAAAAATAGACTCTCCCACCCACCCACACACCCACCCACGCACTCACCCACACGCATCTCCAATGTGTGTGTCTAGTGTTGCTTCCCTTCCCCACCCGCTAATGCCCTCGTGCCACTATCTCCTCTCGCGCTTTTCTGATCCCCCTGGCCATACACCTCTCACTGCGCAGGTCTCGCTCCGAAGAGACCTCTGTTGACCTACCATATCTGCAGCGCCTGCATGAGCTGTACGACCACTGGTTCCTGGAAGGTTCTCGCAGGACAGATCTGGATCTCGTGGCAGGTGAGTACGGGGGCTGGCGTGGCGGTGGTTCTGTCGGCACATCTCCCACCGGCCTGACCTCTCTACCTCATGCATGGGGTGAGAGCCAGGCGCACCAGGTGAGGTGCCCTTTGTGCACATCTCTACGATGCTGCTCCTGTTCTCCCCATATTCTCCCCATATCAGCCTCCCAGATAATTTTGGCCACCTGTGTCTCTGTGCTCTCTGCAGCTCCCTCCTTTACCGCCTCTTTGGACGGCGCTTTGACGCACAGGGCGGTGGATGGGGTCTCGCTGCTGGTGGTGGATTGCAACCAGCACAAAGAGCAGTGCAGTGTTCTGGAGGATTCAGAAAGCAGCGTGGGGGACGCTGGGCAAAGTTGGGAGAAAAGGGAAAACTTGGTTATGGGGATGGAAGCGTTGCAGGTGCAAAGGCCACAGGCATCTAGTTCTCGTGTTGAAGGGAGTGCTGTTGAGTGCGGATTGTTAGATGAATTTTTGCCCTTTTTGCAACGGTTTTGTGCACAAACGCGTGACAAATGATAGAGCTGGGTTCATTGTTTTTGTTGTGCGCAAGCTGTGCCACGAAAAATATTGCTCTTTATTGATGTGTGTGACTACTGTGTACATGCGGGGAGGCATGTATGCGAACATGCATGTGCTCGTAAGCATCTTTCC